CCAGGAATTTGAGGTTGCTGTGAGCTAGGCTGATGCCACGGCACTCTAGCCCGGGCAACACAGTGAGACTCTGTCTCAAAAAAAAAAAAAAAAAAGCCTCAAGCAACATTTTCTCAGGGAAGTCTGATCTTATCAATACTTCCTTGACTATTCAAGTCCCATTTCATACAGCCATAGCTCCTTGGATCATGCCACCGTTTTATATCTTTGTTTATTTAATATAGCACTCTGGAGTATCTATATCATGGAGACAAGAAATAGTTTTCTTATTGTACATTTCCATCACAGTTCTTTAAGTGGTAGTTATTCACTGAATACTTGCTAATAGAAGGAATTAAGAAAAAAATCTAATTTTGAACACTTGATTTCTTTCACTCCATGTTTAGAACTGGTCAAACAATCTTGTGTTTAATGCGTGATTGCACTAGAATTATGGGTCTTAGAATTTGTTTTCATAAAGATACTCTTATATGCTATTGGTGGTATTGTAAATTCATATCACCATTTTGGAATATAGTATGGAGGTTCCTCAACAAGCTAAAAATCACCCTATGACCCAGCAATTACACTATGGCTATATACGCAAAGGAATTGAAATCAGGATGTGGAAGAGATGTCTGCACTTCCATGTTCATCATGGCATTATTCACAATAGCCAAAATATGGAAATAACCTAAGCATTCATCAGGGGCTGAATTTCAAAACTGTGGTATATATACCCAGTAGAATACTATTCAGCCTAAAAAACCAGAAAATTCTGTCATTTGTGACAACACGGATGAACCTAGAAGACATCACGGTAGGTGAAATAAGACAGGCGTAGAGAACCAAATACTGTATGATCTCACTTATATATGGGGTCTAAAAAAGTAGAACTCAGAAGCAGAGAGTAGGATGGTGGTTACACAGGGCTGGGGGAGGGTGGAGAGACATTAGAAAACAGGCAAAAAGCTACAGTTAGTAGGAATAAGTTTTGGTCTAGTGCACAGCTACAGTTAATGTATATTTCAAAATAGTTGAAAGAATTTTAGATATATTCACTACAAAGAAATGACAAATATTTGAGGTGATAGGCGTGCTAATTAGCCTGATTTGATCATTGTACAATGTTTACACATATTGAAACATCAGATTGTACCTCTAAATATATGCAATTATTATTTGCCAATTGAAAATTAAGCTGTAAAAGACTAGGTAATCACAATGGAAGGTATGGCTCTGTCCGTGGTGCTGATCTCAAGAGCGCTTGGGGAAGGGATGGACAGAAATGAATGAGAATAAAGAAAGGGAAAGTGGACCCCCTGCCACCTAAACCACATGGGCTTCCTTCACTTAACTTCCCTCCAGGATGGCAACAAGTGAGTAAATCGATTTTCTTCACCTTGTTTTTCTGTCTCTGCCTCTGTGGCACCATCTATTTCCATAGCTTGTGAAATTTCTGGAAAAGAGGGGAGGAGAATAAGCTTCAACATATTTACATTTATTATTCAAATCAGAGATGTCAGACACCCCACAAAACCCTGAAATAAGCTTTGTCATGTTACATTTCATCTTCTGACTATTTTGGAACATGGCAACCATTGACTCAACAAGAGGGAGGAGTGAACTAGTACACTGACCATGAGATTCAAAATCAGAGGATTGACAATCAAAATTATCTCTATACACTATCAATAAACAAATGACATTAATAAAACAATTCCAAGCCAGGCGTGGTGGCTCATGCCTGTAATCCTAGCACTCTGGGAGGCTGAGGCAGGAGGATCGCTTCAAGTCAGGAGTTTGAGACCAGCCTGAGCAAGAGCAAGACCCTCTCTCTACTAAAAATAGAAAAATTAGCCGAGTGCAGTGGCACATGCCTGTAGTCCCAGCTACTCGGGAGGCTAAGGCAGGAGGATTGCTTCAGTCCAGGAGTTGAGGTTGCAGTGAATTACAACGACACCACTGCACTCTAGCCAGGGCAACAGAGCAAGACTGTCTCAAAAAATAAAACAAAAAACAATTCCATTTAAATTAGGATAAAAATATTTAGGAACAAATTTAAAAGCTGAAATGTATACTGAAAACAACAAAATATAATTGAAAGAAATTGAAAACGTCCTAAATAAATGCAAAGACCATCCGGTGTTCATGGCTTGGAAGACTATTGTCAAGCTTATTGTAAAATTCATATGGAAATCCAAGGGACCCAGAACAGTAGGAAAAAAAAAGTCTTGAAGGCGGAGAATCACACTTTCTGATTTCAAAACTTACTATAAAGCAACAGTAATTAAGTCAGTGTGGTACTTGCACAAGAATACACATACAGATCAATGGGAGATAATTGCGAGTTCAAAAATAAACTCTTACATCTATGATTTCACATAAGAGTGCCTAGGAAATTGAATGGGACAGAATAGCCCTTTCAACATATGTTGCTGGAACAATTGAATATCCACATGCAAAACAATGAAAATGGACCCTCTACCCCATGCCATACAGAAAAATTAACTCAAAATGGATCAAAGACCTAAATCATTTTAAGAGCTATGACTATAAAACCCTTAAAAAATATTGGTGCGGGGGGTGGGAAGAAAAATGGCGGAGTAAAGGTGACCTCCTGGTTCCCTGCTCCCAGAGAAAGAGGTGAAGAACTCGGTCTGCTATGCACGAGTGGATTGCTCCCCTGCAAGAATTGCATTGTGAATTGGCAGAGAAACAGCGTTGGACACACAACACAGGAAAAAAAAAAAGGTGAATGGGAGATAGGATCGCAAAGTCTGGAGAGTGTGAGATAAACAATAGAGAACAGAGCATGGGATGGCTCTGCCCACCCAGCCATCGAGTGCAGTGGGATTTGACCCACAGGAGAACATCCTGCTTCCCCACTGACCTCCACGCCCACTCAGACAGGGACTTCCCTGAAGTCAGCGCAAAATCGTAGCAGGACATGTTAGGCTCTGAGGAGAGGAGACAATAGCAGGAAGCATCTTGAACTCCCCAGAGCTCTGTGCTAGAACTGCACTGGGCAAGGGATGGACTGGTCTGAGCTACCACTCGAGGGAGTTAGGAGACAGGCACCTCGCCTCTGGCAGTCAGCAGGACCAGAACAACATAGGTGAACACTGAAAAGGACTCTATCCTGAAAATCGCCATGGGCGATTAGGCTGGCTCAGGGCAGATCACAAAGTGTAAGACCTCCTGCCGGACAGGTGTGAGATTGTGGGAGGGTGACACACAGAGACGACAGGGTGTCCTCTTGACTGAGCTCCCGAATCCAGCATCCACCAATTCCTGAACAGTCACCCCCAGCGCTAGTGCTCAGTGGGTGGGTGGTCACCATTTTGGGGGTCCACAATCCAGATGCTGTTGTGCGCTATGGTTTGGGGCAGCACCCTTCCTCCAACCCAGGGACTCTGGTCTCCACCCTTCTGCAACCTATTGTCAACTATCTGGGCCCGTTTTGATGGGTGAATTTTGAGTACTTCCCCAGTTGTGGGAGGCTAACGCCCATGGGATTCACAAGGCAGTGGGGCACTGGGTGGACTTGGGCATCACCCTTCCCCCTAACGCAATGACTTTCACAGCAAAAGTGGTAGGCTCCAGCCCTGGAGGTAGGGAGAGGCAAGAGAAGCCACTTTCCCTGTGCGACTGGCATGAATCTGCCAGGCCTTGGCACAGATAAGTAAGTTGACAGCCTAGTGACTCTGCCTGTCATACCGGCTTAGGTCATCCAGTGGGATCATAACTCTGGGGCCTGATCTTTGCATTCGGGCAGCTGCCAACATGGGGTTCGTGTTCAGGGAAGGAAAATCCTGGCCAGAGGCCACAGCAGGTGTACCAAGTAACCCATCCCATCAGGAGCAGCCTCCCAAGTGTGGTGGAAGAGCCCTGAATAACATATTAGTGGCTCCCCCTAGCAGCAGATCAAGCAACAATAGAAGCATACACATCCTGGGTGGTAGGCAGCAGCTGCCATTTGCCTTGCTCCTACCACCACTTTAAGGAGGAATAGGGTCCAAGCAACCCTCGGGAGTGTCAAGACCCTTTCTAAAGATTAGGGCACTAGTATTCCTCACCTGGGGACCAGAAACCAAGACAGAGGCATCAGATTACCTCAATAACTAGCTCCTCCACACAATCTACAACCAATGACAGAGAAGGTAACCCCACAGCTCAACACAGTGCTCTCCATCTCGAGCTATTAGAGGGAAGTGGAGTTATACACACAGGTGTGTTTCACCACATGGGAGCTTAATCTGGGGGACCAAACTCACTAATCTCCACTGCCAAGAGGTGAAGACAAAAGGTCAGAGGTAACCCAACTTGCAAAATACCTCTAAGGCAATACAAGACCAGCGTGCCTCCTCCCACCACTGTTAAGGAATGTCCCTTGGGGGCTTCAAATTAAGGGCACAAACCAGTCCTAGCACTCCCAGTTCTCAATCAAGTACCCTGATGAGAAAGAACCAGAGAGAGAACACAGGGAATACAAAAAAGCTGAGAAAAAAGTCACCCCTAAAAGAAATCATGAGACCCTCAAAATCAGATAGTAATTTAAAGGAAATGATTAAATTGATGGAGGAAGAATTCCAAATATGGATTGCAAGGAAACTCAATGGAATTGAAGAGAAAATAGAAACCCAAAGAAACCACAAGAACAATACAGGAAATCAATGAAAAGTTCTCTAAAGAAATTGAAATATGATGAAAAAAAAACAAACAGAAATCTTGGAAATGAAGGAGGCAGTCAAGGCACTTCACAACACAGTGGAAAGCCTTAAAAATAGAATGGATTCCATCACACAGAGGAGAGACTCTCAGAGCTTGAAGATAATGCCTATGTGCTAAACAAATCAGATGAAGAAAAAGAACACAGAAGCAAGAGAAAAGAGCAGAACATACAAGAAATGTGGGATTATATAGAGCAACCAAATATAAGAATTATAGGCATCTCCAAGAGAGAAGAAAATACACAAGGGCTGAAAAATATATTTCTTGGACTACTGGAGGAAAATATGCCTGGCCTGGCCAGAAACCTAGATGTCTGGATAGAGGAAGCACACAGAACTCCTGGGAGACTCAACATGAAGAGGCAAACAACACATCACATAATTATCAGACTGGCTAAAGTAAACACAAAAGAGGCAATCCTTCACACGGTAAGATGAAAGAAACAGATAACCTACAAAGGAAAACTTGTCAGACTAACTGAAGACTTCTCAAATGAAACCCTACAAACCAGAAGGGACTGGGGACCCATCCTCAATCTTCTTAATCAGAACAATGGCCAACCTAGAATTCTTTACCTGGCAAAACTGAGCTTCAACTATGTGGAAGAAAACAAGACTGTCCCAGACAAGCAATCACTGATGGAATTTGCGAAGACCAGACCTGCTCTGCAGGAAATACTCAGACCTGCATTATACAGTGAACAGCACAATAGACACCCACCAAATTAAAAACACTCAAGAGTTAAAGCCCAGAACCTGGATTCCACAATGGCTCAAGAGGTAAAACAAAACAATAAGAACTTACCCAACAAGATGAACACAAATCTACCCCAAATATCAATTCTCTCAATAAATGTGAATGGCTTGAATTGTCCTTTGAAGAGACATAGACTGGCTGAGTGTACAAAATATTACAAGCCCAGTGTCTTCTGTCTCCAGGAAATGCATCTAACCCACAAAGATGCTTTCAGACTCAAGGTCAAGGGTTAGAAAAACTTTCAGGCAAATGGAAACCGAAGAGAGAAGGGGTAGTGATTCTGATTTCAGACAGCATAAATTTTAAAATAGCAAAAGTAAAGAAAGACAAAGATGGTCACTATATAATGGTGAAAGAAAAAATCCAACAAGGAGACTTAACAATTCTTAATATCTATGTACCCAACATAGGAGCACCCAGATATATAAAGCAAACCCTGTATGAACTAAATAGCATGATAAACAGTAATGCCATAGTAGCAGGGGATTTCAACACCCTACTGTCTGAAACTGACAGATCCTCCAACCAAATATAAGCAAAGAAATAATGGACTTAAATAGAGCTCTAGAACAAATGGGTCTAACAGAACATTCTACCCCAATAAAGCTGAATATACATTCTTCTCATCACCTCGTGGAACTTTCTCCAAAATCAACCACATCCCAGGCCACAAATCAGACCTCAACAAATTTAAAAAAATGTAAATTGTACCATGTATCTTCTCAGACCATAGTGGTCTGAAACTAGAGATCAATTCCAACAGAAATGCTTACCGTTTCACAAAGTCATGGAAATTAAACAATGTATTGCATATTGCTAAATTAATGCTGGGTGAAGAAAGATTCAGATGGAGATCAAAAAATACTTTGAATTAAATGATAATGGGGACACAAGCTATCAAAACCTGTGGGATGCAGCAAAAGCATTACTGAGAGGAAAACTGATAGCATTAAATGCTCATATCCAAAA